AAACTGCAGAGTCTTTTCGCACAAATTTCACTGCGCCTCATATTCATTCGCATTATCACACTGGTTTCTCGTTTTTACTGACCTCCCGCAAATTATGAAAGACTATATAAAATACCAGGAATATTTAATCACCAATTAAACGATGACACACAAGGGGTGGTAGTTGAGCTGCAAAAGTGTCTACCTATTATAAATCATGTTACATTGTCAGAGCACTGTTGACAAAACTGTGTGAGGAGTCCGCACGGTGCGGCCTTGGAGGCCTGTCCGGTTATGGGGTTGCTATGCCGTTAGACAATGCTATACACACACACACGTCGCATCGAACTGCTCAGACGCTGATGCGATCACCCCATGTTTCTGACTCTTGTTTACTGCTTCTTGTTTTACCATCTTATATTTTACATCTTTAATTTTCTGTGTTATCTTTTTGCTTTGTTTGCTTGTTTCTGTCATTCTGTTTACCAATGGCTTAATCTTGTTCTGCCTCCTTCTTGTATTCCTTTTTGCTGTTACCCCAACCTGGGTTCATTCTTACTTGCTTACCGTACTACTCGTTTACTTGTGTTAGTTGTTTACTGTGCTACTGTACAGTACTTGTTTTACTCTGCTATGCAGTACGTGTTTACTTTGTTACCATGCACACTTTTTTTACTTTATCACCCGCATTACTCAGCTGCTACCCAGCACGACACACTTGACCCCTCCGCCTGTCATGCACGGCACCGCTCCGACAACCTCCGTGCGACCCCTCCCTTACCGTACGCGCGCCCCCTCCGCCGCCGCCCCTGGATGTTCTCACCTGATCTGTTGGAGTCCCGGGTCACATGATGAACTCCAGTCAGCGCAGCACGAAGGCCTACCCCGCGTGTAGGAAGGCAAGCCGCTGCCATGCACCGGCTTGCCAACGATCGTGCCGACGAATCTGCGCGCAGCGGAGACGCAATCCCGTTGCTCGCCGATCGCCGCGCCTTGCGCCGCCGTCAAATGTCCGCCGACAGCTCTTCGAGAGTTGTCCTCGAACGAGCGCCGGCCTGCCGACGGGTTGCCTGTGATGCACGTCGTTGTTCTTCCCCCCCAGTTGTCATCCTTGCGGTTATTTTGATCTGCCACCTGTCCAGGGCCAAGGAGAGAAGGTTATTATTACTATTATTATTAGTAGTTATTATTACTATTAGTATTAGTATTAGTATTATTATAGTATTATTATTAGTATTAGTATAGTATTAGTATTAGTATTAGTATTAGTATTAGTATTAGTATTCAGTATTGAGTTATTTACTATTAGTATTAGTATTAGTTATTAGTTATTATATTATTATATTATTAGTTAAGTCAGTATTAGTATTAGTATTAGTAATATTATTGCTATTATTATCAAATCTTTATTGCATATATTAAAATACAAATACATGTACTGAAAGACGGGGGGAGGGGGGTGAGTAAGCGTAGAGTGGGGGTGGGGGTCGGACACGGTGACTGTCTTCGTATAAGCACTTACAGATATAGGCAATACAGACAACGTAGGAAAACTCACAGCTAGGGAGATGTAGTTATAGTTTGATAGTTAAGAAAGTTAGAGAGGCGTGAGCGGGGTGGGATCGTAAAAAATGTAGTAGTTGTTCGTAGTTAGTAAAAACGTTAATGTTTTTCTTTTTAAGGAGTGGGTGAATGTGGCTGAACATTACTGACGGTACGTACTACACTACCCCATAGTAAGTGTGTTACATTACAATACGGTGGTACAGCCCTCCATCGACTAGTTATGTGCCGATATACTAGTCCTCTAGTTACGGACACAATTAAATGAGAGGCGTGAGTCAGCATGTACCAACAACGACCACCGTTCACTACCTACTTGTACGTAGGAAGGCCAGTGTGAACGGGTGCAAAAATGGCCGTCGTGTACTAGTCACACGCGGCAATGGCACGACAGTGTGAATGAGAGGGCTACCTTAGTCTGGTTGATACTGCTCATCACTTTAGACAAAATCTACAAAAATCTATTAAAAATTTGTGAAATAGGATAGAGCAATCATATCAATGCATTATTAAATATGGCTACAATAATGGCTTCTTCTATCTGCATCAATCTTCAATCTTCAATCAATCAATCTTCTGCACTCTCTAAAAGGCCCATAAATGAACAATGATTCTATCAGGTTCTATCGCATGATATACCTGTATTACTCTATTCATACAAGATCCGACATGCACTACACCTACTTATATTTCATTTGTGATGTAGAATGCTTTTTGTAAAATATCAATTCATATCAATATAAACATTGTTTTGATATAATCGGGAGCGTATAATGACAAATTTGTCATTATACGCTCCTGATATAATTCATAACAAATATACCCCTGCTGCTTTTCGCAAATTACTTTTTGATATAAATCCGCTCCGCGTGGGCAATAGTGCTGCGGCATACTGTATCAAAACATTCTTCGTTTCTATTATAGATACGTATGTATGATAGCCGATTATATTATATATTATCTCTAATTTTGACCACGCCTTAGCTAACATATTTCGAACAGTTTCCATAATCAATATTTAACGTATATTTCAGATAAATTTAAAATTCTACCTGTACGTGCAAAATTGAGTAGCTCGATGCATACAAGAAATGCGAAATCTGTTAGTCTCTCTCACACGCTTTGACGAGGAACAAGTATGTGGGGTTACCGTGAACAATACATGAAGCAGCCGCCTACAAGCGCACCTGCCCGCATACGTTTATAGACGACGATTATATACTTGTTATGCGGTGTAACTGTGTTTTATGCTCGTCCAGATACACGCGACGACAACGTACGAAACTATACTCATTATGCACGATATCAAAAATCGTCAATAGACGCATTTATGTTTATAATGCTTATAAAACATTTCGCTTTGTCGCTCGCGCCCGCAGCAGCAGCAGTGGGTGGATAGTAATCCCGGATCGCGTCGTTGTAAGTGTCACTTGAACGTGACCCACGAACGCAAACACTGATCGCAGACCGCTCGAGTGAAAAATTATGAGTACCCTGAGCGGCGACGCCCTACCGCGCCGGTCTGCTACTCCGTGCTGCGGCGCCGCGCCGGCAGCAGGGTGCCGAGGTTCGCAGCGCGGAATAAAGTTACCATCGACTGACTGCCGGCTCGGGAGGAAACCCAGCCATTACGAATTTCACGCGCCGCGGCACAGGGCTCCCAACGCTCGAAAATGTAATGCACATTTAATGCGCTTGCCCTGCTAGGCCATGCTCCAGTGCAGACGCGTACGCACAGGCGCTTGGAGCATTTCAATGAAATATAATGCTAAATAAATACGAAATCTATTTACTACCAAAGTCTTAATGTTTCTATACTCTGTTTCACCTATTATTGCCGACAATTTCCTGTAAATGCCGTCCAAATGCTCATCTGCAACAAACTCTGGCTGCCGCTGCACACTG